GGGGCGCTGGGGGCGGAGGCCCGGCCGGGGCGGGCCGGAGGGAGGCCGGGTTGAGCGGGTAGGGGAGTCGGGGTCGCGCGGGCTGTCCCGTGCCTGCTGAGCACGTCTCCTGTAGCTCCTGCCCGGAGTGTGTCCCTCTCCTGGGACGGGGGCTTCCCGGTTTGTGCCTGTAGGTGCGGCGCCAGAACTCTGCGTTTGGGGACATGGGTCCGCCCCACTTAATGGGGCGCTGTGCTCGGGAGGAGGGGCTGCGCCCTCCGGCTTCCTGGGTGGAGGGCCGCGGTCCAGGGTCGGGCGGCTGCTGTCCGCGGTCGAGCTGCCTCTCACTGATGTTCCCAGGACACCTCCGTGCTCAGCTGGGGGCTCTGCCTTCTTCTCCCTCCGTGGGAGGTGACGGCAATGTCACCAGGGCCTGGAGGTGGGGACCCAGGATCCAGGCCTCCCCTGGCCTTGGAGACAGGGGCCCTTACAGGACCTCAGGCAGCCACGTGACAGCTAAGAACAAGGGTCTGGAGGCCCTGTTACTTGTGTGTGTTAGCGTGTGTGTATATGCCTGTGGATATGTGTGGCTGTGTGCGAGCATGTGCATGTATTTGTGTGCGTGTGTGCTGGGTCAGCAGGAGCTCCTTGACTTCCCTTGGTTTGCTTCTGCTGTCCCACAGCAGAGGGAAGGCCCAGCCCAGGAGGGTCTTGGGATTGTGGCTTCCGGGGACAGAGCTGGTCCTCAGGGGTCCTAGCATCCTGAGGCTGGAGCCGGGCTTTGTAGAGTCCCCAGCCCTGGCGTCTGACCTGTGCAGCTCCCAAGCAGCCCTGGAGACAAGTGAGGGAGAGAAGGGGGAATCAGAGCTGCTGGCAGGAGAGCCCCGGCAGGATGCCTGCCCCCTGGTGTCTGGAGGGGTGAGTGATGAGGACGTGATCTGCTTGGGCCGTCACCCTGCCCAGTGCCAGCTGAGCCCTCTTAGTTACATGCCAGGGGCTGAGTTTTCAGAAAGGCAGGAGCTGGGCTTTGGAGCCAGACAGCCTGGTTCTGATCCTCGCCCAGCCAGTCACTTGCTGTGTGAGCTGAAGGAGCAACATTACCTCTCTGAGCCACAGTATCCCTATCAGGCTGGGGTGAAACCTGGGATACAGTGCACACAGCACCATGAGCCGGATCCCTGTGACGGTGGCCTCTTGTTTCTGGGATGGCCTTACCCTGTCTTCTGCCTCCTGGTTGCTCTTGGAAGAGCCAGGGATGGGTCAGCAGCCTGCGCCTCCATTGGGCACCTAGTTTGATCTCCCTGCTCTGGCCTTCTGGGTTTGGCATGTCATTCCATCGGCTCCTGCCCTGCAGTCCCAGACCAAGCCTGGGTGCTTGGGGAGACAGCCCAGGTTCCCTCAGGGAGGGTGTGGGCTGGGGGTTGGTGCCACAGGGTGCTGTCACTTGGTGTCCAGGTACTGTGCAGCCCCATGTGGCCAGGGCCATGTGCAGATCCTGAGGGTTTCCCTGGTGTCTCCACTAACTTCTCTGACTAACTCTTCTTATTCCCCACCTCCTCCTCCTGACCTCTTCAAGCCCACTGGCCCTGGTGCTAGCCTGCCTGCCCCAGTGGCTCTCGCTGAGGCTGAGGACGGTGGTGGAGACAGGCGCTGTCTGGGGCTGTGGCTCCCTCCTCTCTGGTCTGGACAGAGTGACCCCAGCCGTCAGGCTCCCTGTGGAGGCCCTTGGGGGAGGGGCCTCTCTTTGCTTCTTCTCTGAAGGTGCCTAGCCAGCTGCGTGGGAGGCGGGAGGTGACCATCCCCAGCCTTACGATCCTCCCGTCCACCCCAGCTATGCCCTGGGCTGCTCCGCAGGCTCCCTGGGGACCCTTCTGAGTATGGCCTGGCCAGCATGGTGGGCTGGGTTGAGCGGGGAAGGTGCCGGAGCAGGGCTTTGGCGTTCTTTTCCCCTGTGGGTCATTTACTGAGCACCTGCTGTGTATATGGTGCTGCGGCCCCTTGGGGTGTGTTCACAGGCAGCGCTTAGTGTCAGTGTGAGGGTGTCGAGGCCTCAGGCTTGGGGTTTCCGCAGACCCTCTCATTGATGAGGTGGGCAAGTCCTGTAGCATTTTGATTGTCAGGATCCTCGTTTGAGAAATAGAGGTCTGCCTGGGGGAGGCGGTGCCCCCAGCAAGAGGCAGATTGCCTGGGTCTACCCTGCTTTCTGGTCCTAGCCAGGTGAGTAGGTGGTGTCACCCGTGTGTCCCTGGCTCCTGCTGCTGAGGGCAGGGCGGAGTAATGTGTGGACGGCACTCGGCACACCCTGGAGTTCGTTAGCTCCAGAATGGGCAGCAGCTGCGGTGACTGTTCTATACCTAGCACCGTCCTTAGCACACGGGCTCGGCCAAGGGCTCAGTCAGTGATCATCCTACTGCTCAGGCTCCAGGCTGGTGGCCAGCTGTGTGCTGAGCTGCCTGTTGGCCAGCCCCCTCTCAGTTACAAGAGCTCTTACGGAGGGTGTTTTGGAGAGCAGTTTCCTGTACAGGGCTCTTAGGTGAGGTGAGCAGATGTGGCCGCATGCCAGGAGACCTGCACCCAGCAGCCTCCACTTGAGTGGTTGTGCTCATCTCCACAGGGGTGCAGAACTTACATCTGTCTCAGGCCTCTCTGGGGGGCCGAGAGGCTCCCTGGGAAGTCTGGGCTCCTCTGGAGTTGGGAAGGAGGCTGAGTTGCCTATGGCCATGCCCTGCCTGCGTCCTCTGGACCAGGCCTCTTGGGGGCAGGTCCTGGGCAGGCTAGAGCCTTCCTCAGGCTAGGGTGAGTCCTCCCTGGTGGCTGCAGGAGCAGTCTTGACAGCCTTCTGTCCTTCCTGTGGGGCTGAAGGGCCACAGCACCCTTGGTTTAAAATGCATGCCGGACCCTTCCCTATGGCTTGTCTCTGAGTCACCAACTCGCTGGGCATCCAGACAGAGGGCAGCAGCCAGTTCTGTCACTGGTAGGAGAATCTTTGCCAGGGTCCTGGTGCCCACCCAGGAGCCAGACCCAGTGGGGCGCCCCTAGATAAGGGGTGGACAAGCAGGGGTAGACGAGTGAGCAGGTGGGGAGGTGTGGGTAAGTGCATGGCTGGGGCTCCACACCCCATTTCACAGGTGGAAATGAGGCCAGGCTGTGGCAAGGAGGCCCAGGCCTGCAGTGGGGCAGGGCCAGGGTGGGTGGGGTGCCTGACGCTGCCTCCCCCTTTGCTGCAGCCACGCGCCATGATGAAGACGCTGTCCAGCGGGAACTGTGCGCTGAGTGTGCCAGCCAAGAACTCCTACCGCATGGTGGTGCTGGGTGCCTCGCGTGTGGGCAAGAGCGCCATTGTTTCGCGCTTCCTCAACGGCCGCTTTGAGGACCAGTACACACCCACCATTGAGGACTTCCACCGCAAGGTGTACAACATCCGTGGAGACATGTACCAGCTGGACATCCTGGACACCTCGGGCAACCACCCCTTCCCCGCCATGCGCCGGCTGTCCATCCTCACAGGTGGTGGCTGGGGCTGGACTGGGCTGAGCCAGGGGTGGGGGTGGGGCTGGGGCTGGTGCTTGCCAGCTTGGAGGTGCTGCTCTGATTTCATTCTTTTGGACCAGGACCTGACCCACAGGCATGGAAGGGTCCTGGTTGCTTCCCCTACAGGAGGAGACCCAGCAGAGCCGTGGCCACGTCTGGAGAGGATGGGGGCACGGGGGGGGGGGTGCCACGGGAGGGGGCTTTGTGTTGGCAGTAACAGCATGGCTGAGGGCTTGATCTTATTCTTAGAGCCTGATCTTATTCTCTGTGCGTGTTCACTTGGTGCGCACACTGCACAGGGAAACTGAGGCAGAGGTCAGCAGCTCACGCCAGGCGGAAGCACGGTAGGGAGGTGACAGCTGGATCTCTTGCTTTCTACTGAGTTCCCAGTAGCCTTCCAGCCTGCTGAGGGTGTAGGGAAGGACAGGAGACCGGGTGGGGGCTCGGGGCATCCTGGTCGTAGCCCCGTGCCAGCTGTAGACCTGGGCCTTTGTGGCCAAGTCTGCGTTTTCTCGACTGGATCCTGTCCTGGGCCTGTAGAGGTTTGGCTAATGCGTGGGAAGTGCTGGCGAGCATCGAGCCTTGACCCTGAGCTGCCTGGTGTTTCTGGTGTTCCTGCTGTGGCTGCTGCCACATCTCCGCTGGTCCCTGCATGCCTGGCAGAGCTAAGGTGGCACGCAGGTGACTCCTCCGTGTTGACATGTCCCCAGAAACCTACGCCTGCCCACACTGCCCTCATCCTGCCTAGGACCCAGGCTCCTCAGCCTGGCTGCTCTCAGGCACCTGTGTCTGGAGAGGGAGCATTTGGCTGGAGGAAGCCTGGTGGATCTGGGTTCCAGTCTTGGCTCTGCCGCTCAGCAGCTTAGATGTGGGCTGGAGGCAGGTATGTCGGAGTCCTGGCCACTTCCGCTGCCTCTCTGCACATGGCATGATGTGGGGCGGGCTGTCCCAGCCTGAGAGGCCTGGGTGCCACAGAGTGCTTAGGGTGGAGGCGGGGAGGTGCGGCCACACGTGTGCTTTTAGTCACACAGATCATACTAGACAAGTCTATAGGTGAGGCTGGAGCCCCTTGCACCCCTGTCCTGCATTGCAGGCTCTGCTTCCCCGACACGGCCACCTGCTTCCGGCCACGCAAGCACATTGACATTCAGATTTGTGTCCTGGTGGTGGCGAGAGCTTTGTCTGTCTGTGTTCTATGCACGTAGCATTCCGAGCACATCTGTCTGCTGTTGCTTTGTTTGATCACCAGCCCAGCCTCGAGTTTGCCCTGGTGCTGGGTACAGGGGATTCTGAAGCCATTCACGCCGTAGCCAGCTCTCTTTCAGCTGAGGCCGCAGGGCTGGTGCTTGGCATCTGGTCTCACATTTGGGGGCCAAGGTCAGCCTGACAGGGCAGTGGGGTCTGACACTCAGAGTAGCGTGTGGCGCGGGTGCCGTCTGTGCCATTTTGCAGTGGCCTCCCTGAGCACCCAGTGTGGGAGCCTGGGGCCGGGTGTGTGCGCCCTGCTGCCCTCCTTTTTTATTTTGGTCTTTTTGAGGCAGGTTTCACTATGCAGTTCAGACTGGCCTTGAACTCACTTTGTAGCCCAGGTTGGCCTAGAACTCAGTGATCCTCCTGCCTCAGCCTCCCAAGTGCTGGGAGTAGAGGCGTGTGCCACCATGCCTGGCCCTGCTGCCCTCCTGACCCCGTGCTGCCCTCTGTTCCCATTCAGAGCCTGTCACGGGTGGTGTAGGCAGTGACTACCTCGTCCCACAAGTGTTTGGGAAGCAGGCAGCACCTGCTGTGTGCTGGCTGAGGGCAGGGTTGGGTTGCAGTCTCAGCCAAGCCCCATTTGAGCTGTGTGACCTCGGGCTGGCTGCATGTGCTTTCTGGGGCCAGGTCTGCCCCTGGAGCAGGGAGGAGTGAGGGGCGGCCAGCACAGCAGGTGTGGGCTTCAGGCCTGTCCTTGTCATCACCCACATGCAGCAACGGGGCCATTCAGGCCCTGTGGCTAGTGCGCACACCCTGCCGCTGTGCATCCTGTGGTGGGCCCAGCTGTCGCGGGCCTGGATGCCCAGAGCAGGTACAGGCCCCTGTGCGTGTGGAAGTACGATTCTAGCGCTGTCTGTGCCAGCCCACCGTCATCCTTTTGTGCCCCAAGAGGAAGTGTGGTGTGGGCGAGCATGTTTGAGTGTGACCAAGGCGTTAGGCTCTGAGCCTTAGCTTCCTGCCTCAGATGGGAGAGGCCGATAGCAGGTCCCCGAGAGCCCATGGTGTGAGTTCCCACCCAGTCCCTGGGCAGAGGTGCTTGGGACTCACGCTGCTCTCCCCACAGGCGATGTCTTCATCCTGGTGTTCAGCCTGGATAGCCGCGAGTCCTTCGATGAGGTCAAGCGGCTGCAGAAGCAGATCCTGGAGGTCAAGTCTTGCCTGAAGAACAGGACCAAGGAGGCAGCAGAGCTGCCCATGGTGATCTGTGGCAATAAGAGCGACCATGGGGAGCTGTGCCGCCAGGTGCCCAGCACTGAGGCCGAGCTGCTGGTGTCGGGCGACGAGCACTGCGCCTACTTTGAGGTGTCAGCCAAGAAGAACACCAACGTAGATGAGATGTTCTATGTGCTCTTCAGCATGGCCAAGCTGCCCCACGAGATGAGCCCTGCGCTGCACCGCAAGATCTCCGTGCAGTACGGTGATGCCTTCCACGCGCGGCCCTTGTGCATGCGGCGCGGCAAGGATGTGGGTGCCTACGGCATGGTTTCGCCTTTCGCCCGGCGGCCCAGCGTCAACAGTGACCTCAAGTACATCAAGGCCAAGGTCCTGCGGGAGGGCCAGACCCGTGAGAGGGACAAGTGCACCGTCCAGTGAGCTGGGCATGCAGGGGATGAGGGGGCTTGGGCAGTGCCTTAGAGGGGGCCCAGGGTGCCTGCCTGCTGCCCACTTTCCCTGCTGGGAACCTGATCTGGACCCCTGGCACAGATGGGGGCCCCCCTGAGGCACTGAGATCTGTGAGTTCTTCTGCCTTCCTGCCCGTCCCCCAAGTCTTCTCATCCCTGCTGTCTTCTGGCCTCAGTTTCCCCAGAGAGGACGCATGTCCAAGCACAGGGGACAGTGGGGAGATTCAGGACCATCCTCGGCCAACAGCGGAGCCTTTGGAGCAAGTTGCTGGACAGAGGTCACCAGTGCTCTCCCTGCTGGGGCTGGTGTGGTGGGTGCCTCTGGGGGTGCTGTCCCGCTCTGCAGCGCCCGCCACCCAGTGCCCGAGGGAGCCTGTGGTCTGCCTGTTCCTCAGCCTTGCCTGTCGCGTGGCTCCCCAGCCTCTCGCAGGTTCCTCTGCTCGATGGTGCACCAAGTGTGTGCTGCTGCACCCCTTCTCGAGGGCAGTGGACATGGCGGGCCTGGCCAGCTCCCTGTGGTGCAGACCTAACGTCTCAGTCAGCGACTGCTGCCTCCTTTCCAGACAGCACCCCCAGCTGCCTTCCACAGACCAGGGCCCCACGCGAGCCCATGCTGTCTCTGCAGCTGGCGCAGAGCAGAGCTCTGCGAGAGCCAGGCTGGCCTTTCAGTGTCCATCCTCATGCACATACTGAGCACCAACAGGCTGCTGTGCCCACCATGTGCTCGGAAACGGGGTGAGGGGCACGCTCATCCACACAGTGGCCCCTGCACACAGGTGTGGGAAGGAGGCATGGCAGTGTGGGCTGTGCCCAGAAAGGGTGTGGGCACCACATGCCTGGCCTGGTGGCCTTGTGCCTGCAGCGCATGTCAGCCCAAAGCGCCACAGCTCGTGTCAGAGAGCCCTCAAGATGCTGCGCTTAGGGTTCGAGAAGCCACATGTCATCTCCAGAGTACTTCTGAGGCCCACAGAGCTGAGCCGCTGGCCCAGCTCCCACTGTGGCCGGTGAAGGGCGGGGCAGGGCAGCCCTGGGCTGGGGGCATATCCCGAGGGAGGCGCCCCATCCTGGCGTCCTGTACCCCGGCCCCTGCTCACGCAGCGACGAGGCCCCATGACCCAGGATACGCACATGGATGTAAGTGAGCCTGGTCCTGCCGGATCTCCACACCCAGCCCTGCCCACTGCCTAGCACCCAGCTCCTGTGACCCCACTTACGCCCCCTGCTGCACTCCCTGTGTGACCCTCAGAGCAGACCCAGGGCCTCGTCCAGGCGGGCAGTGTCCGCTCCTCCTTCCTCTCTGCCCGGTGCCCTGACCTCTCTGTACCTGTGCATTAAAGTGGGTTTGTACGTACCTGAGCCTGGTGTGGGCTGTTGGGTGTGGCGGGGGGGCTGCCTCATGTGCCCTCGAAAGCTTGCTCCAGGCAGGCAGCACTGAATTGCCTCCACCTGGAGATCTTGGGTCTTCTCCCAGCATGGTGGGTTGCATAGCATCCAGCCTGGCCCTTCAGGGCCTCGGGGGTGGAGGAGCAGATGCCCCTCTCAATGTCCCTGGGTCTGGGTTGGGGACGTCAGCAATGTCTGGAGTCATTTTTGCTTGGCAAGACCAGTTGAGCTGGGTCCCAGCTCCTTAGGAGGCTGAGGCAGGAAGATCAGAGTCCAAAACCAGCCCAAGTCAACTTAGCAAGACCTGTGTGGAGGGAACACAGCAGGCTGGCAGGGTGAGGAGTGCAACTCATGCCTGGTGATTGGGTAGGGGTGCTGCCTAGCACCCCTAACGTACAGGATGCCCCTGACAGTGTTCTCTGGCTGTGTGTCTTGCTGCAGCTTCACTTGGACACCAGCCCCAGGGTGGGCAGGGCCAGCCCACGATTCTGTGCACTTGGTGAACAGGAGGCAGAGCCCTGGCCCTGAGCCTGAGTCACGGCTGTGGGGTGCTCCTTGAGCAGAGTATATCCTGGGCTGGTGGGCCCTCACCCTTCCTGAGAAAACTGCTCCCAGGACACTCTGCTCCCTGGTCAGGCTCAAGGCACAGACAGGCTGTCCTGCCTGTAGGGCTCCTTGTCCACTGGAGGGGTCACGGCAGGGGGCTCTGCCCACTGGGTCCTGGTGGGGGTGGAAGGATGGTGCAGAACACACATCCCTGTGGCTTTTGTAAACATGAGACGCTTTGTCTGGTGCATCCCTCCTCAGCCGGCCAGCGTGGCCACTGTCCCCTCCGTGTGGATGCCTTTGGATTCTCTGCCTGGGACATGGTCTTGGCTAATCACAGCTCACAGTGATGACCTCTCAGGTTCCCTACCTGTTCTGTCACCTCTGAGGGCTTGAGCCTCTTCAGGCCTGGTCTGGCGCTCATGGGGCAGATTTGAGGGGTGTGGGGTCAGGGGTGGCCGAGGACACTGTGTGGTACAGGGATGCCGCCGCAGGGTGCTGGGAGGGCGGGCGTCTCCTCTCGGGGCCCCCAGGACTCAGGGCCCCCAGGAGTCAGGGCCCCCAGGACCCCGCCGGGATGGCCTGAGGCTCGGGGTAGCGGTGTCTTCCTCCACCTGGAGACAGGGATGGGGTGGTGGTGGTGAGGTAGACGCCAAGGGGGGAGGAAGGGGCGCAGCCGAGGGTGGTGATTTGCCTGGAGGCACTGCAGGAGCCTCTGACCTGCCTTCCAGGGCTGCTAGCTTCCTGCAGTGTGGCCTGCTGAGGACTGGAGCGGTCTCCAGTGAGCACATTCTCAGTTTCCAGTGTTTTCCTAAGGAATTAAATGGGAAGCAGAAAGCTGCATCTGTGTTATCCACCATGAGCTGAGCAGAGACTGCTGTGCTCCGGGGAGGGGCAGTGAAGCTCAGGGACAGCTGGAGGGAGGGTCCATGGGACAGCTAGTATTCACTCCACACAATGCTCTCTGGGCCCAGGTAAACAGGTCCTGCCTCTGGGAGTGGGGAGGTGGGGACACAGGCCCTGCAGTTGGGGAGTGATTGGTAACATGAGAGGAAGCTTCTCAGAGGCGGTGACAATCTGAGCTGCCTGTGAAGTCGCTGCAGTTTTTACCAAGAAGTGCTTCCTGGAGGCGGGGAATGGCATTATTCTACTTAACAGAAATGTAATTATGCTTAATATAAACGCCCAGCTCAGCGCCAGGAGTATCATCAGCTTTCAGTACAGATGAACCATGACAAGATTATTAATTTTCATACGCCTATGGGTGACTCCCCCAACTCTCCCCACGTGTTTGGATGCATACAGGTGCTGGAGGTCCTGCCGTCGGCGGAAGGCAGGCAGGGATCTGTACAGGGTGCAGTGCTGTTGCTTGGAAAGGAGCCCCACATGGCCTCCAGCACAGTCCTGGTCCAACCCCCCATTGCCCAGCGCCCTGCCTGGAGCTGCCCCGTGGGCTCCCTTCTGACCACAGTGCGCAGTGGGGCCCTTGGGAGTTGCCCGTGAACGAGGGCCAGCGTGGACTCTGCACCCCCGTTCCTTTTCTAGCAACGCCAACTCGTTCTCAGCTGTCTTCATTTTTCTTTCTGCTGCTAGTACTCACAGATGGAGTTCTTTTGAGGCCATTTTCCAGAAGGAACTGTGTGTCTGTGGGTGGTCAGTGAGCCCAGCCTGCACTGACATTTTTGCCCCAGCAAAACTGTAAATTATTTCAGCCAAGGACCTTGGGGTCACTGGAGAAGTTTCCAAACTGCATATTTAATCCTCTATTGTCAAGGTTTCCTGGACTTTCCAATCCCCCTCTCCTCCCAAATGCAGCCTTTAGGTCATCTGAGGTTCCACTCACACCTACACATATACACACACAAATGCATGGGCACCTAGCGTGTATAGACATGAGCATGCAGGGGCATACACATGCACACACATGCTAGATAACTGTACACACATGGTATATAAATGTACATCTGTGTATATTCCACTCACACAACACATGCATGGTGTGCACCCCCCAAACACCAGTACTACATGTGCAGGCACACACATGGACACCCAGACACTTGCACACATGCACACAGCAGGTACACGGGCCTAGGAATGCACATGCTCTGCCAGGAATGAGGGAGGAGGAGGAGGAAGCAGCCACAGCATTCTCCCCCTTGTTCAGTGGCTTCTCTCCCTTGGCACAAACTTTTGGTTCTTTTGTTATTTTTATAGATTATAAAGACCTGGCCTGGAACCAAGTCCCCGACATTCGCAGATAGCAGATGTGATATTCAGCAGTGAGTCCGCAAGAACAAAACTGCATGCAGGGGAGCTGGAGTCTTTTGGAGTTCCTTCAGCTAGAGTTTTCTTCATTTGTTTGAGACAGGGTCTCTCTAGGTAGCCCAGGCTGCCCTCAAACTCACGGCGATCCTCCTGCCTCAGGCTCTTGAGGGGTTACAGGCATGTACCACGCCCAGCTTTCGGGGTTCCTGCAATCTGCAGCAGCACAGTTCCCCTGCCCAAGCCCTCCCAGGGGCTCTGCCAGTTCGTTCTCCATCTAGGGCTGTCCAGCTCACACACTTGAGGGCCCTGCTGTCCCTGTGTCAGGAGTGGAGGAGCTGTGGCTGGAGTTCAGGGTTTCCTGGGAGGCAGTGCTGCCACCCTAGTCCTGTCCTCCCAGGGCCTCACTCTAGGGCTCTCGGGCTCCTGGGGGCTTCCTTGAGGTGCCCAGAGCTGGAGCTGCCTGTACCTGTCCTCACTGGAAAGTCCTGCACCTTCCGCTGCTTCCAGAAGGAGCAGGGCTGAGGTGCTCTCCCGTGTCCTCTCTTGTCTGCCTCTGGATGCCCAGAGCCACTTGCCTCCCCTTGCCAAGCTGCTCAGAGCTGGGACAGTCAGGGACTGGAGAAGACCAGGTCCTGAAGCTCCTCATGACCAGGGTCTGGGATGAGTCCCCTCCCTGTACAAAGAAGAGGGTAGGGGCGTCCTCTCCATGGGTGCATGTCAGAACTGGGGCAGAGCTTTTGCAACCACCGGGCCTGGGCACCTCTCTCAGAGCAATTGTTCGTAGGAAGGGGACGAGGCCCAGAAGAGACATTTCTAACACCACCTGGGTGACCACAGCGGGATGCTAGGCAGAGCGGTGTGGGTCTGATGGTCACCACAGCTTAGCCCAGTGCCTGTGCCCAGCATAAGGGCCATGCTTCCTGGGTGCAGGTGAGGAGAGCCCTGGAGTGCTCAAGTCATGGCTCCTGCAGAAGAGACTTGGAAAGCTGCTCGGGGTGAAGACCTCAGCTCAGGGCTGATCTCGTCTGACTGGCACCTGGCGCACATTTTAATTAGAGACTCAACCCCACACGTCAGTCATCAGAGGCCTCCTCCGCAGTGTTGCTCCCACGAGTGGGGGCATCTCCATCACTGGGGTGCGCCTGCCTCCTGGCTGAGGACCTGGGGAGCTGGAGCCCTAGGAGCCATGGGAAGGTCTCCTGAAAGCCAGTGGTCTGCAGCCCAGAGTCCTGAGGTTTCCATGGTGACCCACATCTCCCCACAGCCAACAAAAGCCTGTCACCAGGGAAGCTTTGGGTGTGGGATCCCAGCCCCGTGTGCCTGGGGGAGGGCATCCTTTTGGAGAGGGCCTTGTCCTCAGTGCCCCATGGGTGGGAACAGTAGAATGGGGACAGGTTGGTCCCTCCCTCCCTGTGACTGCTGGCAGGGCTGGTGGGGTCCAGACACCTGGTGATTGGGTAGCTATGTACAAGCCCCTTGAAGGCCTGTGCCTTGGCCTCCCTGTTTGTGACATGAGGATCTGGATACTGTGCTCCTCCTGTAGGGCTCTTCCATGGGGGAGCCCTTGACACACCATCTGGCATGTGGAAGCTCTGTTTCCTCCGCTGCTGGAAGCCAACAGCAAATGGTAAGCGGCCTCCATCATGTAGGCACTGGACAGGGAGAGCTTCCATCACCCAATGTCCAGGGCTCCTAGCCTGCACTGGGCATGGTGGTTCTAGGTCTTGGCTAACAGCAAGCTGGAAGTTTGTGGCTGCCACGTTCACTTGCCCTAGTCCTGTGTCCCTATGGAGCTCCTGAAGTCAGCAGCACTGGCCCAGGACCCTGTACTTGCTTGTGCTACTTCCTCCAGCCCTTGAGTAGTGAAGCCTCCATGCTGCGAGTCTTTTGGGGCTGAGGCTGAAGGTAGGAAGATGCTGTGGATTCCTTGCACACACAAGGGGGTCATACAAGGGTGGTCGGCAAGGCTGCCCCTTCCAGGTGAGACCGTGGCCGGGTAACAGGTGGTGGGGAACATGGTCCAGTGATGGCACCTGCCCCACTACAGCCAGAAACCAGAGACCAAAGGGCAGCTGCATGCCAGGCAGGAGGGCCAAGCCTGTCTTCTTCCAGGGTGCAGCAGTGACATTTTGAAATTTAATAAGGTCCTTCTGGTGC